TTTTTTTTTTCGTAATTTAGCTACCTGAAACAACAGTGAAAACTACAAGTCATGCAAATTTAGTACTTTGTTGGTACATAGCCTCTTAATGAAAATCTGATATATATCAATTAGCAGATTTTAGTTGACAGAAATTTTGTGGCAGTGGGTTGCAGGGGAGTATCATGAGGGTCCTCACATGGAAACAATGAGTCTTCTCGGCAGATTTCGACCCGTACCCATGTGGACATTATTTCGTTTTCACGGGGTTTTAACCCGTTCGATCGTACCCCATGTGATGTGAAGTTCATTGTGCTTCTTTCTCAAATTTGGTATTGTTTGAACATAAAATGATTATGTAACAACTGAGAAATCACATAAATCAAATATCCATCGACGAAAAAAGTTTTACCCGATCGACAAGCATTTAAATTGTATTAATAATTTTCATCACAAGTATACATAAAAAAAATAAGGAAAATATGAAACAAAATGACATTATTACCTTAGCATAATATCTTGGTGGACTGTAAATGCACTCTGCAACAACTCTAACAGCATCTTCAAACTCTCCAAGACCTTGATTTTTCAGAAACTGGGTTCAACACCAACAAACACACAACCAAATGTCAGTTTTTTTTCTTTAAAATATGAAAAATTTACATTATAATAATCTAAAATACTACGTTCCGTTACGGAACCATTCTGTCGGGATTTGTAACCGTCCCCTGGGATAGTTGATTTAACGGTTACAAGCCCCGACAGAATGGTTCCGTAACGGGACCATAGTATCTCCCATAATGCTTTACTTTAGTGTAACTGTGCCCATAAATTTGCTTGTAGCTGATAAATGCTAACTTGAGCTGAGAAATGCTTCTTTTACTAAAGATCTCTAATACAACAGCCTCATCAATGGCTCCTGGCTTTGCCTCCCCTGCTTGGTACACCCTTTTTGCATCACATTTTGCAATGTGATGGCTAATATCAGCATGGTGTGCTTTGTGTGATGCAGATAATGCCATCAAGATCTATCATTTATTATCATTACATTTAAAATTAAAAAAAAAAAGATTACCAAATTAAAACCCACATAAAAAAAGAAAAAAAAAAATGTTCTTTAAAAAAAGGCAGTGAATAATGGTGACCTTTTGATATGGATGGCGAGGTTCAATGGCGGCAATATCCAACTCTAACTGGCTCCTATATTTGGAGGCATAAGCTTGTCGAATCAAAAGGACATGGCTCGATTTTCGACTGGCGAAAATCTCGACGAGCGCCCGGTAATCGACGGTGGCATTCTTGAAAATAGCTTCTCTTGCAAGAACAGAGTCCCTCTCAAATGGGTTGAGCATCATCAGGCCGGACAGGGACGACACACCTGGATCAAATTTCTGGAAGAGATGGATTAAATCCTCACCGTACATTTTTAAGTAATTTTCTCTGATTTTTCTGGACTCGGGCTGGGTTAGGCCAAGCAGGAGCTGGATTACAAGTCTTTCATTTTCCTTCCTAAGAGAACTGTGAATCTCTTTGCAGATACTCTCTGTTCTTGAAACTGCCATTGAAAGAGATTGAGAGAGATTGAGAGAGAGAGAGAGAGAGAGATTCTTACTTGGAGGACAAGGAAAATGTAAGTGATTTTGTGGTGGGGTTATGATGCACTCTACTTAAGAGAGTTGTGTGGTGGGTGAGTGCTGAATTTCATTTTTTTTTAATTTTTTTTTTATTTTTTTTTGTTGGACAAAACATTTTTTTGCTAATTTCTAATGTATCTGTTTTTTAAATTTGAACTTCACCAACATTCATAATTTTAAAATCTCTCGTATATCTTAAGCATGTATATAATCATCTGCATAATCATACATGTATACGGTCAATATGCACGACATATTGACCAACAGGTGTTGGCTAAAGTGGTAAACAACTTTATGTCGCTTAAGTGATGCCTCGGATTAGAATCCTTGTGAATGCAGAAAATCATTGTTGGGCGACTCACCCACCATTGTCAGGTGTGCGATCCGGGTCGACCAACGGATTAGTCAGAGCAAAGCTCCAAATACTGTGGTTGGGAAAATTATGAATATTTATAAAAAATCAAAATGAAATTTACCTAAGAATACAAAAAGTCTGTAATAACTAATAAGCTTGCAAAAAATGTATTTTACCCCTTTTTCAAATTCCAAAGGGAAAAAAAAAATAAAAGAGTCAGAAAGTGTGAAGAGAAAAAGGTAAGAGTTAGTGTATGGGGAAGTAGAAACTGATGTGTGCATTGTTTGTACATGAGAAGAAGTTTGTAGCTTTAGTGCAAAGTTCATGGCTTTTCCTAGTGAAAAGCAAGTACTTTCACTGGCCTAACTTTTTTTTAAAGCAAAATTGTATTTTTAGTGTTGTTGGTTTAATCTTTGTAACATTTTTTATTCTAAACTTTTAACTTTTTGTCATTTGATCTTGCAATTTAATATTTTACTGCAATTTCAGTCCTTCGAGACTGAAATTGCAACAAAATTAAAATTACAGAATTTAAATTGCTAATAAAAAAATTCATCGAAAAGATTTTTTATTAGCATTTTAAATCCTATAATTTTAAATTTTGTTGCATTTTCAATCCCAAATAAATGAAATTGCGTTGAATTTTTAAAATCCTAAGACCAAATAGCAAAAATGTTAAATTCTTAGAACTAAAAACGTCATTTGATCAAACCCACATGATAAAAATTGCAAGTTTACCTTTTTTTGACCAAGGGAAAAAGATTGTCCCTTTTTTAGTTCAACAGGCTTTTTCCTTATTTCCCTGTCCTTTTCTATTGAGTTCCTTTGGGAAAAGGTTTTCCACATGGGATAGCCATAGACTGCATATAATTTAGATGATAGGAGTTCTGTTGCTTTTTTGTTTTAAATTTTTGTTGTGACCTAAGTTGGAAGCTTAGGTGGAGCAATGACAACTTTTGGTGTGAGTTCTTTTTACCAAAAAAATTGGCTTTCAAAAACTATTGACAAGTAATACTCTCCTACCCACAGTGGGCACATGTTAATATGTCCATCGTTTATGTGGTATGTACACATTGGTGATGTTAATATGTTCAAAAAAATACATCACCAATGTGTGCATGCCACATAAGCGGTGAACATATTAACATGTGTCCACCATGGGTAGGGGACCATTACTCAACTATTGACATTATATGTATGTCCACCGTGAGTATGGGAGCATTACTCGACTATTGACATTACATATATATGTTTTAGATGTTAAAGTGAATTTTGAGTTTGGGTATACCAACCCAATGTTGCTAGTTAAAAAGGAAAATATGAAAAACATATCACACACTTGTTTTACAAAATAGTGTTTTAAGGTGTGATGATTGGATACAAATATATATTCTTTTGGTTAATCAGAATTAATATTGAATAATGTGGTACGATTACTTATTAGTGGGTTTTTGAGTTTACATTAAAGTAATATTTAAAATAGAATATTAAAATTGATTTGATGTAAAATTATGAGATAGATGATTTGAAATGATAATTAATTGAATAGATTATTCGATTTTCTCTCTTATGGGGTCATGTACTAGGACTAAAAACGAGATGCCCCGACTGGTTTTTTTGGAGCTTTTCTCAATTCCAAAAACATTGGTTCTTCTGGTTTTACTTTGATTTAATATTGGAGAGTGAAAACTCCAAGATTCATCTTTAGGATTCAGATAGCACTTGGGATTCGACATTTGATTTTGCATTAATTGTAGGAACCTCTTTTTGTTTTGTTTATGAATGCGATGACTTTGTTTGATGTGAATTTCGGTGGTTGACTTCGTGATGAGTAGCTAAATTCGTTTGTTAGGGATATGAGATAATTGTTTTGGTTCATTTTCGATTACGTGTTTGCTAATTGTTCAATCTATGCGGTTGTGTTAATCCTAGTGTTAGAATATTGATCATCATTCTAATCTAGTTAATCGACTTTTATAATTGAAAGAGGATAAGTTGATCGATCTAAGCTTGTTTAGAGTTAGTTTGTTCGTAACCGTATTGCCTATGTGTTAATTGATTTTGATAATTGATCGTTTATATTTATTCTCTTGTTACGAAAAGTTAATGAGTATAAATCTCTATACGAGTCCTTTAATTGAACATTTGATTGCTCGGTAATTGCATTTAGAACCAGAAAAGATTATCCCCGACCCCCTAGCTTTTTATTCACTATCTAAATTTTGTTTGTAGATATGATTGTTGATCTTTGCATTATTTTAGAATCAGTGGTTGTTAATGAAACCAAATCATCTGAATTGGAGAATTTAGTATTTGTTTTCTCTTTTTGTATTTGAATATACGCACATTAAATTATGACTAACTTTCATCGAGAGATTGACTCGAGGAACAAATCATTCAGTTCGATCATCGATAAAAACCTAAATAACCAGAGCCTGAGACTTCTCGTTGGGCCTTTTCGAGTTGTCCGTCTGCACAACCTGCCTCTTCTTCATGACAGCACCGGTCTTCAAGGTCCATATAGCCTCCTGATCCCACGCAAAAAGCTCACCTAAGGCCCATTTTCGTTTTATCATTCTCTAAACATATGTCCACGTGACCCAACATGAATATGTTCACTGGCCCAATATATGAACATATCATATTAACCATTCTAAATCAAAGCACAAAACTAATTCAACAACCATAGATTCAAAATCTTTTCACCCTTCACTAAACAGCAACCCTGCTGCCGACAACCATCCTCCCGCCACAGTCCGAGATATCATTTTCTTTACCTGATGGTGTCGGCCACCGTTTGATCCACCGCACCCAATCCTTTCTATGCTCGCCGCCACGGTCACTGGGATCAGGCGAGACTAAGACACCTCGCGACCACCGTCATGCGTTGAGAACACATGTCCCTCAGGGGCGGAGCCATCCTAGGGCTAGGGTCGGCTCGAGCCCCATATCAACAAAAAAAAAAAAAAATTCTAACCTTATTTTTTAAAAAAATTTATACGTAGTCCTCTTTAGCCCAATGTAATTTTTTATGTAGTCCCATTTAATTTGGGTTGGATGCCTCAAGATTCAAGTCGAAATTTTTTATTTGACAACAATGGAGAAAAAGTGATGATAAGAGACAAAAAGATTATTCTTTATTGTCAAATAACAATTGTGATCTTATTAGATTTTTATCAATTGGGTTTATAATGTGACCCGACACACTTCTGTCTTTTAATTTTTTAATGGGTTGATTTGACAAGTGCCAAATGAACTGAATAATTAAGTTTGCACACATTTCTCCTGTGAGCTATTAATTGGTTTCGTCTCATTGCACAGTCCATTATCCATTTTCATTTATTATTATTATTTTTTTTTTGTTGATTTCGCCTCAATAATTAATTCGGCCTTATTTCTTAGACAAAGAAAAAACTCTTACAGAGTTGACTGCAAACATGTTCGACTCTATTTGTTTGATCGACAAGTTCAATTAGCTATTTAAGTTTGGCTTGTTTAAATTTATTAGCGAGTCGAGGTTGAGTTTTCTCAATTTAAACCGGTGTCATCAGATAACTTGGTTATAGTCATGACCAAAACCGGTTATAGGTCGAAAACCACAAATTCGGAGCCGAGAGTTGGAGGACCCTGAACCGTGGCGAACATATGCACAGGCCGGTTCATTGAACTGTCGGTTCTTAGTCGTCCTGTTAATTAAAAAGAATATAAAGAAAAATGATTTTTTTTTTAAAGATGAACCTCGGGTTCCCGTTCCGGTTCCAGTTCAGAACTGAAACTGTCGGTCCAAAATGTATAAATCATAATTTTTTTGTCAGTTCGGCCCGAACCGACAGGTTGGTCTGCACATGACCATGTCTATTCGGTTTCAATAATAGCTACAATAATATGAAGCCCCAGGTTATAAAAAAATTCTGGCTACACCCCTACCCTCACCTCGAGTCACTTTCTGACGACCCTTTGTCCTGAGCAATCTCGACCTGTGCCGAAAACAATCGAACGTTGATGGACATATCTGAGGTTGAAGGTGATGCCGGAAGATATCTGCATGCGAAAGCTGGCTCTGGTTTAGTTTTTTTTTTTTTTTTTTTGCTGGCTTGAGAAATGAAAGACCGACAATTCTTTTTTTTTACCAGATTTGGTGGTCGCAGCAATGCGTAGAGTTGGATTTTTTCCACAGCGGCCAATTTCATGTGCCTTAAATATCGACTCATTGAGATTTTAGGTTGAATCGTCTCGACACTTTGAACCACAAACCAAATCAACCTGTAAATAGGGCCAGCGTCGACACTTTGACGTTCAAGTCAAAAATCTTATTCTCAAATGGGTGTAGACACTCAAGTCAGAAATCTTAATGAATATAAATTCCTTATTTATAAGTGACTAATGACGTACTTCCCCAAAAATCCACTAACAACTAACCATGTTTTTATATCCAATCAACTTTTTATATCAAAACAACCTTATTTATAAGTGATTTAATCTCTTATTCTCTCATACTTTTATATCAAATCAACTTTAATTATTGTATTTTAATATTATTTTAATATACCCACTAACAACTAACCATACCACA